CATCAAACTACTAACCATGCCCTTCTCTGCTTTTCTTCTGAGATCTGACAAGATCGTTCATTCACATACAGCTCTTGGTGAAAATACAAAATGTAAATGCTTCAATACATCAGAGATTTTATGTTGTATTTTATAAATCTGTTTTAACCTGAGTCAACTGATGAGAAGCCAGGATGAAGTTGTGAATGTTTAGTTTAGTCTTTATTTGAAGGGATAATGTACAGAGACATTAAGCTCAGAGACAGATATGTTCTGCACCAGATTATAGTTAAACAGCTAGTTTCCATCTGCAGTCCCTGGTTACATAAATGATATACATGGATGCAGTAATTTGCAATCCAATAGAATAGGGCTAAAACAACTAATCGATTAATCGACGACTAATCGATTATTGAAATAGTCGACAACTATTTTGGTAATCGATTAATCGTTTTCTGGTTCACACGGACTCAAGCATAGCAAAAATGACATGAAAATGTAATATTTTTGATTAAAACAGACTTTGTTTTTATAATTTCATGAATATCTGTCTGTCTCATCCAATCAGATAGCAGAATTAGCACGAAGAGCCTGTTACAAACATTTACTTTAAGTTTACGTCATCAATACGTCCTCGAGTGTTGCCACTTTAGCTTTTTGTGATGAAAAAAAAAAAACTTTCTACACAATTCACAGCCAAGCGATTACTCGATTAATCGTAAAAATAATTGATAGATTAATCGATTACAAAATAATCGTTGGTTGCAGCTCTACAATAGAAACAACATCGCAATACAACACACTCTCTGATTTAGCCTTATACCTGTTTGTTAAAACCACACCTCATTCCCAGACACACATGCACAATACATCTACTCAGTCACATGTCACAACCATACATTCAGATGATACATTAACACATTCAGTACATTTCTCATCATATCAGTGAGTGATCACTCACTGAATAAGTGCCCAATAGAATCTCAAAAACCATCATCATGGAAGTTCAAGGAATTCTGCCATGTTTGCCAGTTAGAGTGAGTAACCTGATAAACTGTTGGGTCAGCTTTATCAGTTCATAATCTCATTAGAATTATTTTGAATTCAAAAACCTTTATTGGTTAATTGTGGAAGCAATTGCTGTAAATCACAAAATGCTTTGCATTGTAATAAATCATCATAAATTGTATAATTGATGATCCAGGACACTTCTACAACATGTATGGACATTTGTCAACATGTTTTCTATATTCTTTGTTGTGTCCTAACTGTTGATTCTCTGATCTGTGTTTTGTTTAGTCCTCTGAGATGACTACTGTTGTGATTTATTGGCTTACAAGAATACATTGTATTGTATTGTACTTGTAATATCACTATACAAAGCTCCTTTGACAGCTAAATTGTGCGATTTCTTTGAAAATGACAACATTGGAAGATAGAGCCAGAAGTGTGTGCATTTGATTCTGATTGGTTGTTTCATTTCTTAGTTTCTGAAATTTAAACTAACAGACAGGAACGGTTTTAGGCCAAAGAATGGTACATCATTCTTTTGAGTCTGTCTGTTGGCTGTGAGACATACCGTGAACACCTTAAGGAGTGTATTTAAAGGTCAGAGCCCCTCACATTGTGCTCTCTGCCCTCTTTCCCCCAGCGACCGTTTAGCCCCTCTGGTCCCACACCACGTCTACACCGCCCTCTCTGCGGCTGAAAGGCATGATGGGTAATGAGCAGAAACGGCAGTGATCCGACACACAGCTTTATCCTGCAGCTGTGGAAGGCCATTGAGGGAGAAGTCGGTCCTAACCCTGCAGTGACCTGTGTTTTGGGCCTTGGCTGTCACATTTGCAGCCTCCCCTTAGTCTTTAGCTGTGGACCACCTCCTCTGTGCTTCTTCTACTACTAACCTCTTCTAACCTCACTCAATGCTGTATTTGAAGATGAAGTCACCACTGCACTCTGTTTGCCCCCCCCCCCTCTCTTGAGGTCACTCCTTCCATCATATCACGGCTTATTACCTCCAATATCTTGCTTGTCGTCCATGTGTTTTCGCCTCCTCTGTCCACTTGTTCTCCACGCACCCAGTCCATGTTGTAGTTTCATTCCGGCTGCATTCACTCGTGTCTGATTCTCTCTTGGACTTTAATGCTCTGGACCTCTCCATCACCCCACATGCTCCATGACCCCCTGGTGATACTCCAAGTTTGGTTGTGCAGCAGCTTGTGAGTGGCAAGGTGACATTGTGTGTCATATCAGCATTCCACGCGGTCCCCTTTCTCTCAGGAGAGTAATTATTTCTTTCAGAGTGAAAGGTTCAATTTGCTATAAAAGAACAAGAGCCTCAGGTATTGAGGCGGCAGGGTGGGAGCGCGTGAGGAGGGAGAGGAAGTAAAGAAAGAGGAAGAGAGGGACAAATTAGCGGATGGGACATTGTGAGAAGGGAGGGAAGGGTAAATTGTTATGGGATAATATCATGCTGTGTATTAGGTCATAATATCTTGTCACAAAGTCGTGGTGATATTAACAAAGTTTTTTCAGACAAGTTATGTAGACAGCCATAGATGTCATAGTGAAACATATTTGAACAAGAATATTCTGTGGTGCAGTAAACATTATAGATTGTGGTGCCATAAGGTGTTTATGCCATTATTTTTTTACTCCAAACGCATGTGAACTCAACTGCTGGGTGTTACTTCATTTTGTATTGATTTGAAACCCTTTACATCGCTTTTTGACCTCTATTGACAAAGTTATGCAGCTGAGAAACTATATGAAATTTTTCGACCGAGCAGCATATTTGGTTTCTGACTGTGTGTCTATGTTTTGTTTTTGCTATATGATTTTCTGCACATATGGAGTGTTTTGGAATACCTTTCACAAAACCCTCATATTTACTTTGGAATAAATTGTGTACTGCAAACAGAAGTCATTGTCAGAGCTCCTAGCTAGCTGCTCCGAGGACTGTATATTTTGAGCCTATTTTTGTTTTGGTGTGCGTCTACACTTTTAAATTGTAAATTTGTTGTGGAGTGGCCCCGGAGGATGTGTGTTTTGAGGGTTGCGAGTGGGAGGTTTTGTAGGTAAGCTGTCTCATTTCCATGGGCTCCTCTGCACACCTGAATCCTGCCTTCCTCACTCACTGGCTGTAAATGTGCCCCCATCTCTCCAGTGTTCCTTCACCCTTGTGTCGTCCCGCTGCAGTCTCTCACCACTGGGATTAAGGGGGCTCTCCAGACAGGCTCCGGCGCTTATTTAAAGCAGCGGGCTTGTCACCGGGACTATTTTAAGTGGAAGCTTGAAAGCAATTGCCTTCGTGTTCCAGCGCGATGTTGGCTATGAGTTATTATGCAGCGCTTCAGTGGCAAGGAGCGGTGGAACCAAAAAGGCTTACCCTGTTGCTTTCACACCAGATCGCGTGGAATGGAAGGATGACAGTGTGGAGATTTGACCGGAGAAAAGTTCCCCCTAAATGCTGCCGTTGGTTAGTTTGCAGTACAACTCGACATACAAAATTCCCCTATTATTTAATAACACTTTTAAGCTCTATCTGTTACAGCAACTGCCTTGGGGACTGTATCATGGAATTGGTTTTCTGATCATTTTATGCAAAAAAATCAGTCTCAGAATTGTAGTGATTGGTCATAAGCTCTGGAAGCCTCAGGCAGAGAAGACAATACAAGACCAAAAATACGTCTTACTTTTTTATTGCTTATTGTCTTTTATCTTCCAAATGTAATACACTTGGGCTTCAGTGTGTCTCGCCTGCTGAATATATTTGGATCGCGCTCCGTCGGCAGAGAATCTTTCTGGGTAAAAGCGCTGTTGGATGCAGCTGCGTCTTGCTCTGTTGACTGAAGCGATTTTAATGTTTTATTGATTTTTTGATTTATTTTTTTCTGCTCCAGCCTCCATATACACACTCTCACTCTGTCTTCGTCATGAAAAACAGCCAAACAGGCAAATATCCCCATCAGGCCCTGTCCTCGTGCCTGTGTGCTCACATCCCACCACATCCCGCCAGGACCAAACAGGCCACTTTAAATTTGTGCTTTACATTCTAAATTGACCTCATTCTTCTGTGACAAATTCACCAATTAGCTATAAACGACACAAATTTATGCAACATTATCAATGATCTTTTGTCTCTTTTTGCCAATTTCCCTCTGTTGCTCATTGTGTATAGGAAAATAGAAGCTGAGAAATTGCCTTCTGTTGTAGAGCATAGTTACAACAGCTGTACCGACTCTTTATTTTAGCACTTGTGTAAAAATGACACAGTTAGTGAAATTAAGCTCAACCACCTGTACAACCACTGCAATAACAGCAGCAGGAGCACAGGCAGCTGCTCATACTGACATCAGTGCCAATGTAGCTTTTCATGCTTTTACTGTGGTTTCTTTTAAACAAAAACAAAAGAATTGACTAAAGAACAGCTTCCTTCTCAATACTTGTCTGTTAATGTGTTGTGGTGGGCCCTGAGAGAAATGAGTGTAGGATGAAAACACTTTAAAGTAGCAGCTGATAGCACAGCATGCATGTGCCGGTTCTCTCTCCCAGGCACAGAGCACCACAGCACTCCGTCTCCTGATTCTCAAATGTGCAGTAGCGTCTCTGAGGTTGTATAAATCATGCCACTCACTACTGAACCAACACTTCCTGCCCACCACCGACCATTACCAGCCCACCGTGAGCTCCGATAACAAAGCGTCCTATCTTAATAAGCATCCACCATGGGGAGCTAATGGTCTCACTGCTCCTTTTAATTTTATTCATACCTAACTATGAGATATTAATAATGAATGCAGAGTAAACAACAGTTTAAGATGCTAGCCACGCCATTGTGGACTAATTGGCTCATTAAATGTAACATTAGGTGGGAGAGGGGCCCTTGATTGGGAGCTGTAGGCCCAAGTCAATGCTAACACTCAGAGATCATTGATCTTTACCCAGCCTGCTCTGCTCTGATTAAAGAGCAATAAAGATGGGGCTGGTTCCCCTCGGCTCCATAACACTGCTATGATTCCTTAGTGAGGAGGATGCTGCCAAGACAGATATTGTGCCTCTCCCGGCTCAGTGGTGCTCGGCAGTTCGGACCACACATGCAGCTGTGGCCACGGCCGGCGGAGCAGCAGAGGTGCTAAATGGTCTGAGGAGGGGATCGATGAGGAGGCATCCCAGCACCCACAGCTCACCTCTGCCCAGGTCCTGACAGGAGCCTGAGAGGATGTGTGTCTGGCACATCCCTCGTGCTGCAGCTGCTCAAGGGGTCTCTAAAGTGCCCCTGGCTAGTACTTTGGTTCCCCTTTAAAAAATTGAAGAGGACCAAAATAAATTGACGGGGGCATCCCAGTGCAACCTTATAGCCTTTTTTTGCACAGCACTGGGACCTGGCAAGAGAGCACTCAACTTCAGCTCTGTAGGCATTATTTTTAGTGTTAAAGTATTTTACATTATTTACAATGTTATCTGTAAGTTATGTGTGCGTCTAAAGGTCATGTAAACATACTTTATTGGTATTCTGAGCTGACCAGGTGATGATGGAGATTAGACTAGAGATTCCTCATGGCAGCACAGTGGCATATGGCCTTGGCAAACCCTGGACCCTGTGGACAGCCTGCTCTGGGCAGCTATAGACTGCTTTTACTACTGCTGTCTGGCCTGGGCATTGACTCTGGCTCTAATAAACATCCAATATGTTATCCCACCATCACACAACTAGTGGAGATGATACTCTGTAAAAACACAACACGCCCCGAGATTGGTCAGCAGTAAAAGGGCTTTTACACACTAGGTGAACCAGTAAACTCCTGATGGCTCACACAAACACTGGCTCGCTGCAGTGATTCAAGTGTGAGACCGCTGTCGGGTAATTGCTAGATCTCTTGGAAAGATTAGCAACTAAAAACAGCATGCAATTCAAGTTATTTAAGGTGAAGCAGATGGAAAACAACAATGAACCAGCTCTTATTTCTTGTTTTATTAGATAGTGTTTTAATACACAAGGTCAATGCAGTATATTTACTCATACAATATTTAACTTTCCTGGTTGGGCAGTGACAAACAAAACGCTTCTAGTTCTATAAACCCGTTTTTATACTGTGGAGAAGACTCCTCAAACTGATATCAATCCATCAAGAAACACTTTCCATGCATTACATTAAATCAACCTGACTCCACTTTTTACATCTTGAAAACGATTTTTCTTATACACATGGATTACATTGATATTTCTCTATTTCCCTGCTGGCCTGGATGTTTATTTTGATAAAAAATGCTAAATGCCAAGCACTTACAAACGAACATCAAATCTTTTTTTCTAATCCCCTTGACTTGTAGCTGCCACGTTCACAGCCAACAACTATTACAATAAGACGAGCATGTGGAGCAGCATAGCAAGAAATCAAACCTCGATAACAAGTGCCTGGAGCCTAGTTCAAGGCAATGGCTGATATCTCTGCCATACAGCCCTCCTTTTTACCTCTTTCCACACCCTCCTTTCTTTGCCCTCCGCTGCCCCACCTTCCTGATCTCATCTGGAGCCAGAACAGGTGCTGAGGGGAGATAGAGGAGCAGCAGAAGAGGCATCTCCACCCGGGCTAATGACGTCTGTTCCCCCCTCTCAGCACAACCTCCTCCAAACATTTTTCTCAGTGGCTGCCAGACTCAAGCCAGATGAGAACAGGAAACATCACAGGAAAGAGATGGGTCCCTACAGATGGAGAGGAGATTGCTATGAGAGTACGACCACATGGTAGCTTCAAATCATGGTTGTGCCCTATAGCTCCTCAAACTGTTATGTCAGAAAACAGTTGAGAGAATGTGCGCACTACAAAGACTTCTGCAACGCTTGGCTGATAATAGATAAGAATATATACTGCCTTTAGAAGCACTATACCTACAGTTTATACGTTATTCTCTGGAAAGATATATAATCACATCCCTAATAACTCACTGGTAGTCTGACAAAAGTGAGGCTTCCAATCTGGATAATTGCTGATCACTCGCTCACCACATTCGTCCTTATGCCCTTTCATTACGACACAATGACGTTTGTAGGCTGGAGCACCTGGTATTCCAAGTGGTCTTCTCTGTTAGTAACAAATACTGTAAGATAAAGGATGCATAAATACATTTGCATACAATTGAAATAAAACTAGAATTAATTTCCGCATAGAAGAACTTTGCATTAAAATTTGACCCATGAAGACGAGGGTGGGTGCATTAAGCCAGGTGTTGTTGAGGACAGTGTTGCTTTCCTTCAATTTCACTTAAAGATGCTTTATTTTTGGCCAAAAATACTAATGAAGAGACTATTGACGTTTGCAAATAACGTAACGTCAATTACCAACATAAATTTTAGGGGCACACTCTGGTTGTAAAGTTTGTTGTTTTGTTGTGATGTCATAGTGGTACAATGACATTTTAGACAGAAGGGGCAGAGTTATGTGTACCAGAAGTTTCTAGTATTAGTGTGGATGGATCTAAAAACAAAAAACTATGTTGTGACATGGTTAAAAGCCAAGTCAATTCAGTATATGTCTTGCCTGAACCTTCCCAAATACTTATATTTGGTAAACTGCAAATAAACTATTCAAATAAACTCAGTTGCACCTTTGTTTATAAATTATATATTTGAACATTCTTCTTTTTTTCTTTTTTTTTTACTTTTCTTACACAAATAGATAAGCTTTCACTCTGCTCACAGCACCACTGCTTTTTTGGAATTGCAACGTTTTGCCCTCAGTGCAGTTTGACCATAGTCTTACTTCAAGGTCAGCAGTTAGCAGCAGGAGGCTGGTGGAGGCGGTTGTATAGTTTGGACAGTGTGTGCACGGCCACACAAATGAGCCATAACATGCACACTATTGCAAAAACGAGCAGAGAGCTTAATAACCACCAAATGTACTGGCAAAAAGAAATCACAGCGAGAGCATGTCTTGTGCTTTCAAATTGAGAAGTTTAAATGTCTTCATATACCCACAAGACGTTGTCAGTACATTTAGTGGTGCAAGATGTACTGAGTAACTTTTATGGTGGGTGTCCTGTCCTTTTTCTACATGGAGACGTTATTGCTGTACTTGGAGTGTTTCACGTCATGATATTCTTTCCAAAACCCATAAAAACATATACATTCAAAACATACATTCAGTCTCTCCCCCTCCATAGATGTAAATGTATCTGAAGCTGCAGCTGCAATCTGCTTGTAGCAAAGCGAGGGATCAGAATTAGTTAAATGGATTTTATAAGAAATCGTTAATTTTTTGTGGTTTTAAAAGTTAGGCGCTCCAGCTTACACATAGTCACGAAAACAACTTACCAACAAGCAGCTGGCAGTATCTAACTTCTCAATGCACTTATACTCTGAAGGGAAATAGAAGATGACATACCGGTATATGCTCTGCTTATAGATGTAATCAGATCTCTGTGTACCTGACATAATTCTTGAATACTTTAGGATTTATTAACAGTTATAGTCTCCACCAGGTGCCATTCCCCACTGCTTATACCCTCCATGTCCCCACTATATTCTAACTGTATTCCTGTTTCTTTTTGCTTTCCATTTCACTCAATGTTCTTGTCGCCGTGTTGTGAGAGTCACCCTGCTTTCAATTGCATTCGTCACAGTTTCATTGAGGTGTCGCACAGTGTGAAACATCCTATTTATTTTACCTTTATTTCAAGCTTTTATGCACATTTCAAAGACATGCCTGTGGTCCTCACGTCCCTTGTCTCGGTGGTCCTCACTGAAGGTCATTTATTGCAATAACCTAGCTTCACATTCTGACCATGCACATCTTGTCTCAGTATTAGATAAGCCTCTTTTGTCTTACACATGTTTCTTTTGCAATGGGCTTAGGGATGAGACGGACCATTTCAGATAGCGTTTCCTCATTGAGGCAGGAAGCAGCGTAAAGACTCCAGAAAAGCCCCAATCCTCAGGGAGCAGTTCTTTCCTCCCAGTTTGTGTTCATTTGTCCCTCGCTCCCCACGGCTGCCTTTGGGAGCGACTCAGCACTTGTTTTATTGGCCGTTACTGTGTGTCACCCGGCAAATGGCTTTTTACTCACAGGTGCAAGAGGAGGCTTCCATTACTTTTTGTATCAAGCTCAAATTATCCTGATGCCACTGGGCGAGTCCAGCTCTCTGCTTTATTTGGTTTAGCATTTGTGAGTTAGCAGAGTTGCACAGTTACATAAAGGACAATATGGCTCCTCAGACAGGAGAAAATACTAAAAACATGATTCTGATGCAATTGCATTGGGATTCAGCATGCTTTGTTCAACAATATAAAATACATCTACATCAGTGTAAGTGCATTTTATAGTTGGTAAATTATTCCCGGGAAAACGAACGATCAGGTGTTTTTTTTCCACTGTTCGTTAGTGATGCCAGGGTCCAGATCACTAAGCCATTCAACCCTGACACTGTTTGCCCTCCAACTGTTGGGTTCAGTTTCTGTTACTGATATGATTTAAGATTACGCAGTTGAAGCATAAACACTAGATATTCAACTTGGAACAAACTGCACAAAACTGGAGTATAAGTATTTTATTTAAACATTACCATCCTTTTTTATTATTTATTTATTTGTTTAAAAGTATATGGATATGTTTGCGTGTTTGTTGGAGGTAAGATGTGCATATGAGAGCCAGAAAGTAGATGATGGAGCTGATTCCCTCTGTGCTGTTTATTATCACATTTGGTGTAATTATATAATTACTGCTAATCACCCACCTGAGGTGGCACAGCAACATTACAGAACAAACAGAGCGACCTCAGCACATCTAACAGTCATTAACACACTCCTCCCTCCCTCACCCCTTCCTCCCTCCCTCAACCCTCTGTATGGCTCTCTCCCTCCCTCCTTCACCCCTCTGCCTCTGTATCCTTCCCTTCCTTAGCCCTGTGTATGGTGTCTCTCCCTCTCTTTTTCTCTCTCTCACTCTGTCATCCTTCTGTATGTTCTCCCTCCATCTCTCCCTCTTTCAATCTGCAGCTCTTCTCTGTGCTCGTTATCTCTCCTCTTTATTTACATGCATGAAAACACACACTGTCTCTCTAATGTAATGAGCGTCCCAATCAAGCATAATGAGATGAATAGGATTTCCTCCACAGATAGGGTAAATTTATAGAGGGAGAATCTCCCCAGCAGGTATTAGTCTGATGTGAAATGGAAACCTGAAGAAAGCCTCTCTAAATCATATCTGATCCTGCATCTATTGAGCAGACCGTAGACAATAGCAGGGCTGTGTACTGGTGTATTAGTTAACTGAATGTGCCAGTCTACAAATGAGACAGAGTCCAAGGGGGTGTGGTGAGCGCTATTCCCAGGCAAAAGACAAATCTCACATTTCAGACTCCATTTTAAAGAACATGAAATTCAATATACTACTCCAATCTAGTCCACTGTCACTGCTTATGCCAGTAGTAGCAATCAAAGATATTGTGTTCACTCCCCTCAGCCTCCCAGTGTCAGTTTATGTTCATGTTCCAGAGTAAATATATTAAATGTCATTTAAGCTTCTTCAGAAACTTGATTGTTTTGCTTGGTTTTTGCACCATATGGTTTTCCTTGTTTGTCTTGGAGTGGATCTTAGCATATAGAGAGTTTTATTAATCTTGCGGCTGGCTCACTACAGCACTCCCTCATGTACCTCTGTCATCTCCTTGTGTAAATCTCCTAAGTAAATTATATTTCACCCTGTGCATCAAGCACAAATTGAAAAAATGAAAATAAACGCATATTGATGTATGTTGTTTACATTGGCTCAATCAATCGAAGTGACATTTGCGTTTAGAATTAGCAGAGATGCCGTTTGGGCTGCAGTGGCTATTTCCTACTCATTTTTTTTTTTCCGACGGTAAAAGTATTCCACAAGGAGGGAAAAGAAGAGCATCGCACACAGAGAAACAAACAGCTTCCGGACGCCCACTGAGAGGCATTATGGCGTCTGACAGTGCGATATGATGGCCCCCAAAACACCTCACCCACATAATGAGACAGGGCAGTGTAGCTCAGGCCTCCAGAGGGAGAGGAAGGGGGGCCGTGGTGGTGGGTGGAGCCTGTCAGTCATGCACCCAGACAGCCAAACGCAGAGGGCTGGCCGGACCCACTAGAGAGAGAGGGAAAGCTGAAGCAGAAAGCGGACTCGTATCTGGCAAGAAAATGAATTTATCAGGAGATGAAGACGGACGACACCATGCTCGTCAAATAGGGAAAAGGACGTTTAATTAAGTCGGCGTGCGTGTGTGTATATTGAGTGGCAGATAAGAACTGACGGATACCAACCTGTGTGAGACTTTAAGAAGACTTGTGACAGACTTCCCTGTTTGCCCACTTTTCTGCAGTTCAGTTTTTACACAGTAGCATCGCAATTCCCCGAAAACGCAGTCGCAGCACATCTCAGGCCTGGAGGAAGCCTATTAGTGTGGAGCGCTTTAGGCCTGTGTGTAGGTACAGTACACGCACAGATGTATGGTCATCTTCATCAAGTATCACTTAGGGATACACCTTGTTTTGCAGGAGTTAATGAGATGTGGCAATTGCTCTCAAACTGTGTCGTCTTTAGAATAAGTTCTGGCTCTAGGTGGAAGCTGTCCCCATTATCATCATCCCGGCTCCATCAGCCAGAGGTGAAAGC